GCATTCACTTGAAATTAGGCGAACCACCTACTCGCCTGCTACCTTCTCAAAAAAGAAAAGATGTCTCACTGCCGAAAAAACTATTCCTATATACGAGGAAAGCATGGTGGAATCAAGTGTTTTTATCACTATAGACAATTGCCATTGATGCATAGACAAGTAAATTAAAACTAACTTTATGATGATATAAATACCACCTGTATTTCTATTGGCCAACACCAGATAAGAGTGTGAAACGGTGTTTCTCGTTCATAAATAGAATAACAAATACATGAACCCGAGATCGCAGTTAGCGGAGCTTTCACAACAAATGAATCGTTCGATGTAGTTGCTCAGCTTTTGTCTATGGCGCAATAGGTTATGGGTTCGTTTCCCACTCAGAAAAGTATTTTTATGACCTACAGATTCAGTTCCGGATGTGTGTGTGTTCAAGGAAAATTTCTGTAAAAAGTCCTTACCACGCAGGATAACGTCTTGCAACAGAAAGGGTAGAGTTATTAAATTAGTCCGTTTATATTTTTTTTTAATTATGTTTTTATTAATAATTATATATATATATTATATGTTTCATAATTTTAGTGCTATGCATCATTTTCGTACAATAAGACATTACGAATCCGATAATTATTTTCAACTTATATACTTACCTTATAAAATGCTTTCTGAAAATTACGATGACAGAGAACATTTTGTTCGTTATTCATTTATTGCCTTGGAGATAAAAAGGCTTAATGTAATGATCGAACAAATTCGCCTATTGAAAGGAGTGTTTGCAAACCGTCGTGATATTATTTCCAATTCGAGAATTGCCACATTCAACTCACAGCTTTATACATTGTGGTTACAAACCTGGGTCGAAATTTACAGAAGCATCCATTGAGTTAATTACTATATTCGATTAATTATATTTTTAGTGCTAGTCTCTGCTTTCAAGATGAAATTTGGAATGTGCATTTTTGTAGATAAATGGACAAGAATTGGATAGAGGTCGATATTTTCGCGCCGTGAGCTCATCGGCCGCTTAGTAGGTCGTAAAGCGGCTGAGCCGTAAGATGCCGGTTCAAATCCCGTAGCGTTGAGAGCTTATGTGTATCTATATACAAAAATTCTCATTTTATACTTTACAAGCGGAACTGACAGATGTTCTGTACACAGGACTTGAATAAAATAATAAATCAAAAAAATAAAAGTAATTTTGTTTTGTGTTTTTTTTTGTTTGTTGTTTGTGTGCCTTTGTACGGCATCAAATCACTATAATTAAAAAAGGTGTAGCGTCCCAAATTGTAAATTGTAATAGCAATCAGTCCAGCCGTTTAGGAGGAGTTTAGTGACATACTTGTACATACGTACAGAATAATTATATATAAAGAAGATATGAATTATGCAAACCGTCAATAGTGAAAACGTCGAATGAAAGTAACTGCATGTTTTAATAAAAGCTTTTAAATTTAAAAATCGCAAGCAATTCTCATCTCTATTGCCCATTTTTAATATGAGTGATAAACGATAATCGTGCGCAGCAAAGATTTTTTCAACGCACGATGTGTAGGTGGACAGTGCTGAGGTGAGTAAGTGCTTGAGAGCTTACTTGATTGGGATTAAGTATGGAATTTTATTCGCAAGGGAACATAAAGTCCTAATGACTGATAATTTAGAGACTAATATGCCAATCCAAGTGTGTTCGCGGTTTTAAATTGTAACTTACGCCGGTGCTGATTCCGGTTATGAGATGTTTCTCTCGCTGTATCGAGCCAATTGCGATTTAATGGACCCTAAGGTGTGATTCACAGCGGGCGGATTCATATTTTCGGCGCTGAAAAACCTACATATCTCAATAGATAAGATTAATAGAATACCCGGCCAAGTGCGAGTCGGACTCGCACACGAAGGGTTCTGTACCATTGTCTATAAAAACGCCAAAAACGCCTGTTATATGTGAGCCTCACTTAAATGTTTCTAAATCTAAATCTTGTGTGCTTAGCAAGTGTGATTTTTTATGATATGATTACGTAGACATGAGAATTTTCGAATGCCGAAGACGTGGGTTCGATTCCCACAGTGGCGACAATCTTTTCGTACTTTTTCTACATATTTTAATATTAAATCTTAAGTGCAAAGATTAGCACTATAAAAATTTTAATTTCAACGTATATGCTAATATCATAAATACAATATAAAATGATGAAGAAACAAGCTATATGAAATTTAACGCAAAATAATATATTTAGTATATGTAGGACATAAACATGTTTTTGCCATATCAAAACTGTACAAACCGCAAATATACATACATCTTAATAAGAAACATTTAGGTGTAAACATACAAATAATTGCCTTGTTTGTGAATCTAACCGAACGTTTTGCATCGCTGAAGGTAAACTTCAGCGATGCAAAACGTATAGTAGTAGGAATAAAAAATAAAAATACATGAACGGCACACCATTGAAAGTTGGTAAGGCATCTGCATTCCCATATGGAATAAACGTTGATGAATCGCCATCTCTTTTTTCTTGTTGAACTTTAGGAGGCCTTTACAGATCCACCGGGCGCTGAGGGCGCCTAGCCTAAGCCTCGTTTATGAGTGACTAAGCTCAAGTGTCCCTCGGGGGCCTCAGCTCGGGCCGTTACTCTATTAATATTTATGCCGGTTTGTGAGACCGACAAGCTTTTAGTTCGCTTTGGCGAGCACCGCCAGCCCGCTTGCACCATTTATCTCGTAAAATAATGTAAGTTTTTAGTTTGTGTATATCCAAAGATTTAACAAGAAATGTCAGCATTTACGCTGTTCCTTCTATTTGAAATAAGATATGGGATGGAAATTAAAAATAACAACAAACCCTATTTGTTTTTTATCCCAATAAGTTGCAAGATATATGTGTTCTTGACTCACAAAAGACGTTTCTAAGTTAATAGATTTATACATTCTTACTGTTAAATAAAACAAATTTGACAATTTACAAAACGGGTGAAACATCATTCAATCCGTAAAACTCTTTTTCATTTCATTTTTCATCAAACTGTTTCATTTAACAATGAATAGTAATTCATTAAACTTGAGAAATCGTTACTGTTCAATTTGAACCATACTATCATAAAAATGTCTGAAATACTTACGATGATAAGTTGTCGGCTATGCTTGTGTGACGATGTATAAATGGCTGGATGTAGCAATTCGAGCTGCTTAAACTTTTGCGAAAAGTATACTAATTTCCTTAATTTTGAACAATCTCTTTGCCTTTGATTTCATCCTCGTCATCTTCCGGTTAAGCTTTAGTTTCTGTTTTCAAATATAATAATTATAAATTCGAAAATTTTATTTCGTCTTCGGCATTCGCGGCCTGACGCTTTAGCCACTAAGCTAAACGGCTGATTGCCACACCGACGAAAATCTTAACGTCTTTTATCTACATTGTTTCTCAGCATTTGAAGCAATTGCGATTCCCACAGCGGTGACAATCTTTTCGTACTTTTTCTACATATTTTAGCATATACGTTGGTTAAAATATTTTGAAGTTAAAAATATCCGTCCGTCAGATGTGAATAGTACTCAAAAATGAAACTGCTACGCTCGTTCCATTTGTACGTGTTATGATTTTGGTTCTCATTTCTGAATTCAAATTATCTCCTCATGAGAGAAGTTTTGTTTTTCATTTATAACAGAACTTTGGCAATGTTTTTTATGACATGTTTCAAGGTGTGGATGGCTTCTGGCGGAAGAGGATCACCCACCATCTTTTAACCCTAGACTCATTTACAAAGTTTACTCAATTATTTTCACCTCCTATCCAGTCAAAATTAAAAATGTTATTTACTAAATGCAAATAACATTTTTACTAACAAGGAACAAAACAGACTTCAATTGTCTTACTACACATTTTCTTATGGATTTTGCGAAGTTTCTGAATGTATCTACGTATGTCCAAAGTACAATGACAAATAAATATATGTGGGGCTATGGGAGCTACATACAACCCAATGCAAAAAGAATTTTTAGAATCGGTTAATGTCGTAGTTCTGAGGTAACAAACATAAAAAATACCATCTAATTGAGAACCTTCCCCTATTAGTGCTCCGTGCCAAAAATATAAAAAATAAACCGGCACCCTATGAGTAAGACTCCGCTGTTTGTCCGCTGCCACCAGGCTGTATCTCATGAACCGTGATAGTTAAGCATTATAGACGATGTATTTCTGTTGCCGCTATAACAACAAATACTACAAAAAAGATTTTTTTTTATAGATAATGGTACGGACCCTCCATGCTCAAGTCCGACTCGCACTTGTTAGAAGTCGATTGGATATCCCACAGAGAGTCATTGAACAAATGAACAGATATTCTACTCCTCTTTTTACATACGATGAAAAGTCATTGACCAAATCGAATCTATTCTACTCCGCTTTTTACATACGAAAATGAAGCTACAGTTTTGCATTTCGATACAAGATATTACGTCATACAAGTAATGCTATGACTCATGACTCGGTGATGCAGTTGGTAAGTATTGACTTCGTTTTCAGGGGTCTTAGTTTAGATTACCACACGGTTGTGGATCCACAGGTAATTGTTCCAGATCTGGATGTTTATTGCCAAAGAGGGTTGACGTCAGGCAAAGGGCCGTAAAAAAAGCCTGGCCGGTACCAGCATATCTTGTACCGATCCATCCTACGTGAGATAAAGCAGAAGAAAGAAGAAGTGATGCTAGATAAGGCCATCGCCTAATTCAAGCGGTTTAAGTAGTTTTAACAATCATTAACTTTTCAAGCAACAAGGGAATGAATTAACTTACATCATATCTATCCATTTTTAGTTACTTATATGGAATAACCGTGATAGCTCAATATCCGGGAGCTCACTGTTCGATATACTCAAGAAACCTGAGTTCAAATCCTGCGCTGCAACTGGTACCAATGAAATTTAGAGCATTCACTAGATATCAAAAATATCATATCTGTTTAGGACCTATTTACTAGAGATGACAAATAATTCTAAATTATACTCACAAAGCTCCTTCCCCAGCACCCACGTTTCAGGCTTGGAGTTCACCTCCACCAAGACAGTGGGCGTGCACACCAGCAGCACCATCAAGTCCGCAATGCTCAAGTTCACCAGGAAAATGTTCGTCGAGTTCCTCATGTCCTTAGTCTTCAATATCACTATCGGCACCATCACGTTACCGATCACGCCCAAGCACATTATCACTATGCACAACGTCATCGACGTCGCCTTTATGTAATACGGTATCTCCGCGTACTCAGTAAAGTTCTCGTTCGGCATCCCGAACGCCGAATTCGGGTTGCCGTACGAGCTGTTCTCGTGGTAGTGGAATCTGCCCTCGAAGAGCTTGCCCGACGCCTCCGCGTAGGCCTCGCCGTTCGAGTCATTCTGGTACGCGTGGCCCCGGAGCCGGTGGTCGTAGTAGGGGATCGGTGGGTCCGCGTTCGACGTGTGGGTGAAGTTGGCCGTCGAAATCATGTGCGGTCGCCGATGCGAGTGGTCATGTGGTTAGAGTCTCACATCTTTTTGGTGTGAACGCGTTCCTGCGGTCGCTCCCTGCTTCGGCAATGTCAAGTTGGCGTCTGAAACAAAAACAGCCGGTTAAATCTGCGAAATGGAAATGATTTATGACCAATTAGTGCTGGTGTATAATAGTATGGTATAGTAGTAGTGCACATGAAGACCTGCTGAAGAGACGAGTCGTGGAAAACCTTCCAGACGTAAAAGTGAAGTATTTAATAAAGACACTACAGTCTACAGAAAACATTGATTTTGTTCATTTAAATTTATAACTTATAGTCTAAGACTGGACGAACTTCTAGATAATCCTAAATTTTTAAACAATTTTAACCAACTGTTAACAATAAAACTCCTTTAGGGCCACATTTCGTAATGCATATAATAATTACTGTACCTTACCGTTTTAGTTACAATGTTATTGAAATCCCCAATAAATAAAACATTGTGTAGATTGTAAAGAGGTACGATATCAATGTCTCCCTGGACTTGTTTTTTTCGAATAACTTTGATCTTTACGACAATTTCCCGCCACTAGCGAATGACACATCCGTTAGCGGTCATCTATGTCATGCGACAGAGCGTGGATTGCGTTATTTATGGACCATTTGAAAACTTTTTTTATTAATAAAACTGCTTACTAGATGGCATTATGTTGACTGAAGCATCTATATATCAAATATCTAATTCATTGTACCTAAATGAAAATATATACGAAGCCACCGTAAATAAAATGTTTTCTAAAAACAATTCTAAAAAATCTCTTATATGACTCTGATGTTTTAGATATAAATCTACGGAGATGCACCAGATAATGAGCATAGATTATACATAAGAAAAGCAGATTACTCGTTAGTACACGCTCATGGGGTTCCCTGAATTGATAAATGATGTTACCGGAGCCTATCTAATGTCCATAAGCATAAGGGTTAACATCTGCTAGTTTGCTACCTTGCTTTAAAAATTAAACCCAAATCGCAAGGATGACGTATAACCCCAAACCCCAAAATTAGAATACCCTAAAAGAGACAGTTAGGGGTCAACTTACATGTAAAGGATGTTAGGAATTACAATTCCTAAGCAGTGAGTATTTTATTACTAGAATAACTTGTTTCCCACAAAACTTAATTGTGAATGCAGCGGGACCGTCCCAGAGGTCTAAGGGAGGAACGCTTCCCCATCTCTTATTTAATTTAAAACCAATTTAGAAAAATATCTACTTGGTTGGCCAGCTACGCTTTATTTTAAGCATTTTAATTAAAGTTGTTTCACTACTGATCGCATTATTTCTTAGTAGGCGTAACCACTAGGTGGATTTTTAATTTTTTTTTTAAATAACCGTGACATCTTAGAGTCCGGGCGCTCCAATTGTTAATTTTAAGTCCTGATTTATTATCGCAGTAAAGGAAATCATCGAGGGCCTGTATTTTGAAAACAATAAGAAAAAAATATTTCTAAGATAATAGGTATGAAGTCTGTCAAACCCCAGTGGTATCACGTGGTGGACCTTCTGTACTGAGGAGGCCGTTGCCCAGCAGTGGTAAATTTATAGGCTATTACTTTACTGTTACTTTTAAAATAATGTCGTTGCCATTTATTCACCATATTATTCTCACTGTGATTCATTAATTTTGTACTTTCATTGTTTTCGTAGTGTAAGTGGCTAACAAACTTCAATTTAACATAGAAATGTGCTGGCAAAAACTTTACGGCTGGTATTTCATGATTAATTTCCACTCCGTTTTTATAATATATCTAAAATATCAAATAATTCACCTATTTACTGTAATTCTCTGAATGTTACCTAGATATATGATCTTACTTAATCAATTTGCCTCGCAGAAAACCAGCGTAAAGTGGAAGTATGACAAATACTTTCGCGTTTCGTCTGGTGAGTGAGGTAGCCCGAGCCCAATTTTCAAAAGGTTGTCAACACATCTGTAACCCTCGGGTGTAGCAGATGTCCATGGGCGGCAGTATTCACTTAACATCAGGTGAACCGTCTGCTCGTTTGGCAACTTTTTACATAAAACATAACATTTGTTCTACCTCTCCCTTTTTTCTTAAAACTGACTCAGTATGTCGTTTAGCTTTTTCCATTTCGCTTTTTTCGAGAACCGAGAAACTTCTTTTATTAATTAACTGTGTTGCGGTACATAGCCATTCTGTTTACCATTCTAATCTATTCTTTAATGCCACAATCACTTCAAAAATCATAATTACAACACCTGTGGTACAAGTGTAACCTGCTAGGTACGTATTTATTACTTCACCTTTGTCTTTTTGTTTTGTGAGACTTCTTAGACGGTGATTCCGTAAGTTGACGAAAATTTAGAGTGAAATTTCAGGGTTATAGCATATTTCGTTACATGAAGGAGAAGAAAAATATAGCGTAGAGAGAATGAGAAAGGGCTATCGTGTATTGTAAGCCTTTCGTGCGGTACTTTGTTTTTGATTTAAAAAAAAAAGTGTGCTTTAAACCACATGACTGAAGTAAAACTTCTTTCGCTCCATATATATGTAATTTTGTCAAATCTCCTCTTTATAAAACTGTTCAAGAACGGTATGAAATTACGAAACAATCAAGAAATCACCGTTCGCGTAACATCACACTTTTCGTAACGACGATCACACTTTTCGTAACGACGATCACACTTTTCGTAACGCTCTCGTCACTCGTCACCAGCCTAATCCCCAAGCCAAGCATGCTTTAAGAAGTTTTACTTCAAAAATTCAATTCTGTAACGTTAACAGGAGAATCTTTTGAAGTGCTTACGCCGGCACCAACGAAAATATGAAACCGTCATTATGTAATAAACTGAAGTTATTCGGAGCTCCTTCATTATTTTATGAAGTCGCAGCACATCACTCCGCCGAGTTAATTTGGAGCGACGATGAGATGCCGTAATGAAAATATTTCTGACAATGAACAACGAAGGAACAAATGGAGCGGGCGAATTTAAAATTAAACTTACAAGAGTCAACACTGTAAGAGACTTCCGGAGAACGGTCAACTGATATTTGCCACTTTCTATTCTGTGTTGCAAATATATTAAACACACGTGACATGCGTGTGATACGTGCTAAGTGCAAACAACTTTACGTTTATGTTATTTTCTTTTAAAATAAAACCGGCCAAGTGCGAGTCGGACTCGCGCACGAAGTGTTCCACCACGTTCCTACCATTATATTTAAAAAAGGCACAAAAATCATGTTGGTTTTATTGGAGCCCCACTTAAATATTCTTTTATTTTGTTTTTTTTTTTTTTAGTATTTGTTGTTACAGATGATCTATTTCTGTTGCCACTAGCAACAGAAATAGATCATCTGTGAAAATTTCAACTGTCTAACTATCACGGTTCATAAGATACAGCCTAACAAACAGCGAAGTCTTAGTAATAGGGTCCCGTGTTACCCTTTGGGTACGGAACCTTAAAATGACAGAAAATACCACACAGTTTCTTGCCGGTCCTTCTCTGAACAGGTCTAAATTGTTGAATCAGTTGCAGTTTTATGACGTTCAATAAGAGCTGAAAGCAAGCCTATATTGAATAAAGAAATTTAGAGTTTTTAAAAAAAATCACATAGTTGCTTTGTGTGATATGATGACTCGGAGGCGCAGTTACCTAGATATTGGCTTCGGCGCAGGGGGCGTAGGTTCGATTCTCAAGTATTTTGTGACCCACCGATAAATAATTATTCCGAATCTGATAGTCCATTCCCAAGGAGGGTCGACGTCAGGCAGGTGGCTGATCGTAAAACAACTTAGCCAATACGACTAACAATATGGTTTACATTTTATGCCGACCCCAAATAGGTGGGATAAGGGCAGAAGAAAGAATAAGAACAAATCATTACGAGTCATTTTCATATTTTGACAGGGGTTATACGTTAATATAGTTTTTTCCTGTAATTTTTTCCCCATCCCATCTGTAAAACAAGATTATCCTGTACTGTAAAAGCGCTCTAAGTAAACAATATTACACGAACACACAGCTAGATCTAAAACTTATGAGGACACGATTCGTAGTATTGTTTACCAACAGCGGCATCTAAGATATCACTCGCTAAAGAGAACATTGACAAATACCGCATCAATTAAATAAACTGCTTCGCACTCGTTGGTTTCCTTGGCTTGTCGGCGATTTGTCTCCTTTTGTACTTAACTCACTAATTCCAGGTTACGCGCGCATAAACTTATTAAGGCTAATTCATTGTGGGAATTTTCGGTAATTGTTTTGTAATTTGCGTGTCCGTAAATCATATTGTGGTAGTCTCGTAAACATAAATCGAATGGATACCGCATTTTAGTAGCAATAGTTGAAGTGTGGTGTTTAGTCTTGGCCTCTATTTCATCGTCATCGTTTAAAACAGTAAAAGTAAAAGAAATATTTCGCAATTTTAGAATAATAATATAACTAAGAAAATCATGATTTTCACTTTATGTCAGTAAACCACCTAAAACTACTACCTATTTCGAATATTATTGAAATAAGGCGCGATTTTAGAAAGCTACATAACGTATGCTTCAGTCTCTTTCACTCCCGTTTGTTCATAAGTGCACAAATCTTTATTTAACGTTTCCCAAAAATTTATATTTTTTTACAGGTCACTATAATTCTAAAGGTGCGATTTGTAGATCTAGGTTCTCTCTTCCTATGTGTTTTAATTAAAAGTTATTAGACTTATTAGTCAGCTCAACAATTACGATATTCTCAAGGACTGAATCATCCAATAGCGATACAGAGAGGGATAAACATTAATTGAAAATGCTATAAAATATGTATTTACGCGCCTTTGAGTGTTTTAAAGAGGAAAGAGGGAACCTGATGTTAAGTCTACAGACCATGGCCATTTACAACACCTGTTAGGTTGCAGATGTGGGCCCCGGTTACCTCCCTCACCAGACGAAACGCAAAAGTATATACTTCTACTTCATGTGGTATTTTCCCAGATGAACC